TGCTTAACCGACTGAGCCACCCAGCCATCCCTAAACAATTGTTTTTTAATGAACTATATTGTCCAGAGAAGTCTTTCATCATTCCTGTGTATTATGTCCTTCTAATCTTACTTTCCTTTTTTCCTTTTTGACATGGTTATCCAAAGAAGTTAAATGATATCAATAAAAGTTCTTAAACCTAAAAACTGCAGAAACTCTGAAATTGCTAAACACATGCCAATAATCACCATTTGGAAATGGTTACACATAATGTAAGAGAACTAATCTTTCAGACACTATTTTAGGCCAATTCATTATAAACAAAGCACACAGGCAATAGGAAATAGTTCAGAGAGGAGTTTGTACAGATGTAAAAAGCTATGACCACCTTCTTAGAATTTAAAACCTACAAAAAGCAATAAATCCAAATTCCAAAGTCCCAGGCATTCACAAGTCTGGAATAAGAACCAGAAACCTCATTTTAATTAGGCCATTCTTTTACACAGAATGCTCATTGATAATCAGCTTCTCTTTGATATCTGCCATGTCCATAAAAAGCCTAGCACTAACAGAATTATTTTATGTTTAATTAACTGAATTTCTGAGATATAATAACTGTAATTATTGCTAAAAATTGTAACTATGGCACAAAAGCTAAAGTATAACTTTGCAAATAAAAGTCAATTAATTTGGGGTGCCTGAGTGGCTCAGTCAGTTAAGTGTCTAACTTCCACTGAGGTCATGATCTCAGGGTCCCAGGATGGAGCCCTGTGGTAGGCTCCTGCTCAGCGGGGAGTCTGCTTGTCCTTCTCCCTCTGCCCCTCCCCCCACTTGTGCTCTCTCTTTTTCTCTCAAATAAAGAAATAAAATCTAAAAGAAAAAAAGTGAATTAATTTTACAAAGCTAATCAACAGAGAAAAGTGGTTTGGTGGTTCGAGGAATAATCTTGACAATAACAAAGGCAGATGCTCAGGCCTGTTCTCCAAATACTGGTGGGGGGGTGGGGGCGGGTGTTGTTGGTTTTCTTTACATGTTTTACTAGTACGTTTCTTTCTGTCTATTCATTAACCAATTTATTGAGTTCCTACTCTATGCCATGCATTTTTCTAGATGCTAGGAATATAGCAGTGAATAACCACCACGACAAAAAACCCAGAAATCTTGATTTCATGATGCTTACATTTTTGTGTGGGCAGATAATAATAATGTATAGTATATTAGATGATGATAAGTGTTTTGAAGAAAAAACAAAAAAGATAACATTTAAAAGATTTCAATAGGATGAGGAACCAAGTCATGTAGCTAATTGGGGAAAGAGCTCAACTGGAGTGATCAATGAAGGTTTGTGGAGTACATGAGGTAAATGGAGATAATGGGAAGCCCCTGTAAGAACTTGGGCTTGTACTCTGGGTCTAATGAAAAGCTTTTTAATAGTTGTGAGCAGAGGAGTAATACAATCTGACTTACATCAATCTCCCTGCTATCATTGAAAATAGATGGAAGAAGGGCAAGGGAGACCATTTAGAAGGTTTTGACTTCCCAACAAGAGATGTTGGCACAAAGACCCAAGTGGTAGTGGTGTAGATGAGAATGATTCTAGATATGCTCAAAAGGTACAAGTACTAGGATTTTCTGAAGAAGATATGTGAGAAAATAAAAAGAAGTTGAGAGAATGGAGTTCCTATCAGATAAGATGGGAAATACTATGGAAAAAGGGAATTCTAGGGGAAAGATGGGGATATGTATTCTTCCTTGGTATATGTTAGTGAAAAAGTCGAGTAGGCAGCCAGATAAATGACTGGATAAAATAGCCAAAAAAATGAACATGGAAAGGAAAACAGAAGAGGCCAAGTGTGGAAAGAAAGAGAAGAGGGCAAAGACCAAGGTCTAGGACACTTCAATGTCAAGAGGTCAGGGAGGTGAGGAAGAATCAGCAAAGGAGATAAGAAGGGCAGCCAATGAGGGGACCGCCAGGTGAATGTGGTGCCAGAAACCAAGTTAGTTAAGAAAAAGACTAAAAACTAGCCATGGATATTTAGCTACAGAGATTAATTCATGATCTTGATCAGAATAGTTCTGGGAAAACAGTGAGCAGAGAAACCTGATTGAAATGGGTTTTGGAGAGAAGAATCAAATACAGACAAGTTTGAAAAATCAAATTTAGACAAATATCTTTTTTAATAATAAATGGATCGAAAAATTCAACACTTGCATATATCATACATGCTTTGTAATAACCATTGATTACATTTATTAATAAGACAATATCAAAAGAAATAAGCATGATCTTGGAAGTTAAAAGTCTGAATACAAATTCTCACTTATTACTAGACAAAACAGTGCACCGTCAAAAAGTGGCTGTCGCTGCCACTGTCTTCTGGCTATATTATTTTCACGCTGTTTTTGCTTGGTGCTTTTGGGAGTAGTTACCACATTCAAATACTAAAATGCATAGCTCCACACACTGAAAATTTAAAAAGTACTGGGTGGTGAGGGTTTCTATCCATTGTTATAAAAATATTATTTGGCATCTTCTAAACTCTATGTACTTTTTTGGATTTGTAGTTGGAATAAATAGTTGTTAGGGTAAAAGCCTTTTCAAGGCCAAATAGCACTTCAAAGGTTTGAGCCCCAACTGCAATTTCTATACCACACTTTACATAACATGAAATGTAAGTTTCCAGACACTGAGCACATCAAGTGAACATCAAAATGTACCAGCAGACACCTTAAGCTTTAAAATGTAAAACAGATGCTGAGAAATAAAGCACTGATAAACCATGGCTCTCACTGGAAAAAGAAAAAAAAAAAAGTGAAAGTAATGGCCTGTTGTGTAGTATTAACTGTTACCTCCTTTCAGGTTTACTGCTACAGAAGCAACTGATATGGAAGCATAAGCAAGATGAGCATTAACAGACCTCACATCCTAAAATTTATCAATTACTTGATGCTGTTCACCTTGGTTAAGCTATTACAAGTGATAAGAAAATAACCTCGCGGGCTATTTTAAAGGTTAAGTTTTTGCTTCTTTCACTTTACAACTATTTTTCTTACCTTCTCCACAAATCCATGTGCTGAGGCACAAGGGAAACTATGAATTTGCAGGAAATATCAGACTTTGGAACAATGTAAATATAAACAAACAAATAGCTAAACGGACAGATTAAAGAATATAGTGAAGACAAGAAATTCATATGGGGCTACTAGCATCTCTAATGCTGAGTCATTGACTAACTAAAGAAAATCTTTCAATTTACTCAACAGTAGCATTCAGGTAAACCTGATTCAAGTGCTGAAATATTACCTGTTAATTCTTTGAGATAAAGGAATGAATTATAAGCCTTCACTAATGAAATAATCCATATTAAGTCACAGCAAGCAACAATCAACAAACAAAAATGCTATAGTATTAGAAATTACAGCACATTTATTGTTTGATCCCTTCACTAAACTCTATATAACCTTAAGCAAGTAGCTAAGTTTTGTTGGGCCTCAAACCAAATCTGTAAAATAGTGGGTTAAAGTATATGATTTCTTCCAGTTCTAAGCATGTAACTCTACAATTTACATCAGAAAATAAAACGTAAAGAAAACATACTAAATCTTAAGCGTTTAAATTTTAGAAAGGAAGGCAAATGTTAACTTGGAAAGGTAAACAGAATTTCCTTTTTTAAAAATGCATGCTGAATCTTAAAAGTTTACTTTTATTGTTATTCTATTCCAATTTAGTGAGTTAAGACTTCTCAATAGAATTTCAGGTTTGTCAGGTATACAAATGATGATTTACCCCCAAGTGTGAGGTTTGGGGAAGTGTTTTGATATTGTGGTAGCCGAGTGGTAATCATTTGCTCCTAGAACCAAAAGCCATCATGCTGCTTTAAGAAATGATTCTAAATGGGATTTTCCCAAAACCTCGTTCAACAAGAAAGAGTCTTAGAGCACAGACCATTATGGTTTCCAATCTACCAAGGTTCAAGACATATACATCCATTCAAAGCCACAGATACTTGCTCAACAATCTCTGTGTTTTTTACATTAGTCTACTTTTGATTAGGAGGGGGGATGTGAATTTCAAGAAAATGAACCCATGCTTTCATACATATTTTCTATCTTAGTCCAGTGTTAAAATCCTTCATATCCTAATATTTTATCAAACATAATACAGTTAACATAGGATTAAAAAAGCAGGCCCATCTAATCACATCAGCCTTGCTATGCTATTAAAACTCAGCTGTTTCTGTAAATATATCTCCAAATCAATTCTGACTTTTAGACCTGATTCTCCCTGTTAGCCTAATTTATTTCTACTTTCCCCATTATTCTAGTCAAATGAACATCCTTTAAGTAAATGCAATCTTTTGATTTCTAACTATTTCCACTTCCTTTTATGAAGGAAATAGTTATTCTGTATCTGACAAGTTCTCTTTTGCTTCAAAGACCTATTTGAAGAAACTTTTAAGTATATTATGAAGCTTCATCTGTCTCAGAAGCATTTTACTGGAGAAAACAAGCAAAATGAAAAGCAACTTCATTTGAGATTATTACAATAAATAAAAGTTTTAACTCAGAGTTTTTCCTTTATATCCTAAAGTCAAGTAATAGCATATGCAAGTACATTATTAGATGGACTTTGAGAATTATACATTTCTTTCCCATGTATGAACTTTTCTTTGTTTTTCTGTGCTGCAGTCTGAGATAATCTATAGCTTCAAAGACTCTGCAGCACATTAATTAGTTCTCTATCCATATCACACTCTTCTGCTATGTAAGTATTATTAGCATTTTCCCTAGAGCAAACTCTAGTATTTTATGCAATGTGTGCATTCATGGGGAGGGTGATGGTTAGATGGTTGTGTTTACTGTGCCATCTCGAACCAATCTGAAGAAACTCAATAATAAAATCTCAATAATAACGGTCACTTAAGGTAAAGCCTTGGAGTCATACACAAGACTGATTCTAAACTAAACATTAGAAGAAAACAATGGTTCCCAAACTGTTTTAAATAATGACTAATACTTACCAGGAAAAGCATCAAAAACAATTCTGTCTCCAGGAACAGACCCATTAGGAGGTGCCAAGATTTCAACCTTCTCAGGTGAACTAGCACACATTACCATTGCTTGAGATATTACTCCCCTCATCTTTGCAGGTTTCAGGTTACAAAGTAAAATCACCATCCGATTTTGCATCTGTGTGAAACATAAACTGGTGATTAAAAATGTACAGAGATTTAGATTATCATACCTAGAATACATTAAGGTACATCTAATATGCTAAATATAAAATATTCTATTTTTGTAGATGTATCTTTGTCTCTGTGTCCAAAATCTTTTATTGTTGTTATGAAGTTATACAAAAACATGAAAAAAAATTCCACAAACTGACAGCACATTATAGTTGAAGGAGCAGAGGCAAGACTTCTCAGTAAAATAAGTTTTAGACTGAAACAGATTTGGTTTTGAATTTAGCTGCCATGTACTAGCAATGAGATTATATAAAGTTGAATTGTTTTTCTTCACAAAATGAGGAAAATGATACCAAATTTAAAAAGCCAACTCTTGGATTAAATTGTAACATGTATGTAAAGCATTTAGCTTAGTGTTAGCACTAAAATAAATGAACAATCCTTTTTCTCCCTACATTTCCAATACTAAGCAAGATCCATTTCTTAGTTTAAAAATTACTCTTGGGACTCTATCACTCTTGGGAAGGTACGGAGTAGGAGGATCCTGAGCTTACCTAGTCCCATGGACACACCAATGAAATAACTACATCTACTGTAACCAACTGAAATCAACCTAAAGACTGACAGAATAGATCATCCACAGCTAGAGAGAAGACAACATCGAAAAGGATAGGAAGAGTGGAGACACAGTCAGGAACCCTGGCAAATAACCACAAACAGGAGGGCTATCACAAACACAGAGGAGTGAGGGGGTCAAATGGACCCAAACTGGGAAAATGAGTCTTCATAACATCTGACTTTGAAAATCAGCAGGACTTAACTCCAGAAGCTTTAAAAATCAGCAGGACTTAACTGGGAAAACCAGGGGGTGACAGTAAATCGAGTCTCCACACTAAAAGAGCCATCACTAGACACAGTGCAAAAGCAGCAGTTTGGAAAGTGCCTGAGGTATATGTGAAGGAGATTTATTGACTCATCTTAGGATGTGCTAGAGAGGCAGAGATCTATAGGAAATATCTCTGGGAAAGAAAGGAGTGCTAGAAGACGTCATTTTTCTTGCCCTCTGTGCCCTAGATGGTCTGAAGCTTGCAGGAGCCAGTATTATCCCTCTTCATCTAACTTACCAACACCACATGCCCCCCAGCCCAGCATTCCCTGCAGCCAAGTACCTCAATCTACCTGCATCAGGAAATGCCCTTCCAAAGCAGATCCTACACAGCAGGCCGGCAAGGGCTTAGACCACTCCAAAGTGACTAGTGCCCTGAAAAGAAGGGGAGATAACCCTACACACCAGCATAACCACAATTCCCGCAAGAAGGCCTCTTTGTAGGCTGCGCGGGGAGCAAGCTTTGCCCTTCATATGCCTGTTGCAGAGGCTAACTGCAAACAGCTAAAATGAGTGCTGGTCCACCACTGAGCTCACAAGCCCCTTAAAAGCACTGGAAGTAAACCCTGCCCAATCAAGAACAGGCATCAAAGAAAGTCATTCTAGCCATAAGCATATCCTCAGCCAGAGCAATCTTGAAAAAGAACAAAACTGTAGATATCATAATCCCAGCTTTCAAGATACACTACGAAGCTGTAGTAATCAAAACAGTGCCTTCTTCATACAAAAACAGACATATAGGTCAATGGAATAGAATAGAGAGCCCAGAAAATCTATGACAAAGGAGGCAAGAATATATAATGGAAAAAAGAGGTTTTTTTTCAATATTTGGTGCTGGGAACATGCAAAAGAATGAAACTGGACCACCTTCTTATATAACCATACACAAAAGTAAACTCAAATGGATTAAAGACCTAACTCTAAGACCTGAAACTATAAAAGCAGTAATTTCTTTGACACAGGCCATAGAAACATTTTTCTAGATAATGTCTCCTGAGGCAAGGGTAACAAAAGCAAAATTAAACTATTGGGACTATACCGAAATAAAAAGCTTTTGCACAACAAAGGAAACATCATCAAAACAAAAAGGCAATCTACCGAATGGGAGAAGACATTTGCAAATGATATATCCCATAAGGGATTAATATCCAAAATATATAAAGAACTTACACAATTCGACACCAAAAAAAAACCCCACAAACAATCCAATTAAAAATGGGCAGAGGGCCTGAGTAGATATTTTTCCAAAGAAGACATACAGATGGCCAACAGATACATGAAAAAATGCTCACATCACTATTCATTGGGGAAATACAATTCAAAACCACAATGAGATATCACCTCACACCAAGCAGAATTGCTACTATCAAAAAGCCAAGAAATAAGTGTTGGCAAGCATGTGGAGAAAAAAGAACTCTCATGCAGTGTTGATGGAAATGTAAATAAACCAGTGCAACCACTGTGGAAACCAGTATGGAGGTTCCTCAAAAAACTGAAAATAGAAATACCATATGATACAATAATTCTACCACTGGTATTTACCCAAAGAAAATGAAAACCCTAATTCAAAAAGATATATGCACCTCTGTATTTGCTGCAGGATTATCTATGATAGCCAAGATATGGAAGCGATCCCAGTGTCCAGATAGATGAATGGATAAAGGGGTGTGTGTGTGTGTGTGTGTGTGTAATGTATATAATGTAAATATAGATATAATGAAATATTACTTGGCCACAAAAGAGAATGAAATCTTGCCATGTGATACAACATGGATGGACCTAGAGGGTATTATGCTAAGTGAAATATATCAAACAGAGAAAGAAATCCTGTTACGATTTTACTTACATGTAGGATCTAAAACACAAAAGAAATAAACAACAGACTCTTAAATACAGAGAACAAACTGGTAGTCACAAGGGAAGTGGATGGGAGGATGGGCAAAATAAGTGAAGGGGATTAAGAGGTGCAAGCTTTCAGTTATAAAATAAATAAGTCATGGAGATGAAGAGTACAGCATAGGGAATATAGTCAATATTTTAGTAATTTTGCATGATGACTACACTTATTGTGGTGAGCACTGAATAATGCACAGAAATGTTACATCACTGAAACAATTGTACACCTGAAATTAATATAACATTGCAAGTCAAACAGACTTCAATAACAAGTATCAAAAAAAAAAAATACTGCTGATCATTTAACTACTCAAGCATCATGTACACCGCAATTAACATTTAGGGCTATTTCTACAATTTGTTATAGAAGTGAATAAAGATTTCTTTAATCTTCAAAAGTTGAAGTGTCTTAATTATTTTTCCCAATTAGCAAAAATAGGTACACAACTGTTTATATCCTTTCAATAGGCTTAAAATAAAATGGCATACAAGAGAACTATCACTGCAGGAGAAGAGAAAAGGCACATTCTAAATAAAAAATGGTTTTATAAACAAATGTTATGGCAAATTTATTGATTCTATGATTTAAAATAATAACAATAATAATAATAATAATAGGCCTAAGACTCAAATTCAAGAGGCCCCCTTTTCGGACATCTTCATGAATAAGATCTTCATACAAATAATTTAAATTGCCACTTTAGGAAAAAACAGTTATAGCAAATTTGTATAAGAAAAAACAAGAGGGTTAGCTATATGCAATTGTTAAGGCAACAGATGATATCCATGGACCTTTACCTTGGAAAAATACACAAATCTACACAGTACAAAGTGCTCCTACTTTATACAATGTTTAATATTACTGCCTTGATAGGTTAGATACAGATGTGTATATAAATAGCTTTGCTTAAGGCTATGAATGACAGCTTTTGGAAGAGAAGATATTGTCTGCAACTCATGGGAACAAAAAAGATGAAGCCCAAAGGAGGAGAAGTTTTTCCAATTTGAGTTGGCTCAAGATCAATTGGTTCTTTTCTCCAGGGCTTCTTATGAACCTAACTTCATAAGTAGTTATGAAGAAGTCCTGGTCCTACACAAGATGCATGTTAAACAGGAAAAAAAAAAAAGCACACACATGGACCAAGTCTATCTTTTTTTATAGATAAGAAAAACTTCTTCACTAATCTCCTTATTTCCATTTTTCTCCCCTCAACAGAGCAGCCAGATGATCCTATCAATATATGAGGCAGACTACATTTCTCCTTAGCTCCACAGTTTTCCAACGGCTTTCATCTCACTCAGAATAAAAGCTAGTCTTTACAGTGATCTATAAGATCCTATGTCATTTGGCATCCTTATTTCTGATTTCATATTGCATGACATTCCCCCTTATTTACTCTGCTATAATGACACTGCTTCCTGCTGTTCTTTGAACATGCCAGGCATATATCCAACTTAGAACTGCCTGAAATACTCTTCTACCAGAGACATAGGACTTTCCTTCATTTTCTGAGAGCTTTACTTAAAGTCATTTTCTTTATAACGCCTTCCCTAACCACTTTATACAAAACGACATCATCCTAACTCCAACAACTCTTAAATTCTTTCTTTTAATACTTACCACTATTTAATATACTATATACCATGATCTTCTGACTCCCCCATAGAGTTGTGAGCTTCACAAAGGCAGGATTTTTTTTTTCTTCTAAACAAATCTATCTACCTACCTACCTACCTATCATTTTAATTCCCTGCTACATCCTTTGTCTAGAACAGTGCCTGGTATACTGCAGGTGTCCAATAAATACTTGCATCTGAAAGTATGAATGAATGAATGAATGTATGTAGGGATTTATCCACATTCACAAAGCCAATAAGCAACAGAGTTAGCAATGAACAGAGAAGCAGAACTATTTTAATGTTAAAATCTACAGCCTTTGCAGTATCTCCAAAGCACCATGGAGCAGAAGAAAGAGACAGATAACTCCAAATTACTGTAGATGTCTTGAAAGACCAAACTAAAATCATTACTGCCTAATTTTTTCCACTGTCATTGGAAATACATACGTGTGTCTGTCTATACACACATACACACATATTTTAAATACCAAAGTAACAACAAAATACAAAACATCTAGTTTTTAACAAATAAATACCATTAAAAATTATAAGTTTAAGCTCCATAATGCCCTCTCCTCTTTTTACTTCAAGTATGAAAATATTTCTTGAGTTATAAGAAAAAAAAAAAAAAAAAAGACGACGAAGACTTGTTCTTACTCTTACTTTTTAGATTGATGCTTTCTGGGTTTATATACAGTGATTTAAAAAAATCAAGGAGTAATAAAATTCCATGACAATAACAATGATGATAAAAATATTTATACTGTATTATACATAAAATACCAAACTAAAAACATTTTAAAAACTGAGAAAAAATAATGCATCTTTCTTCTTTCTACCTTCATGAATTTGATCCTAACTTACAATGCTACTGCAAGTTTTGGTAGTTTTAGTGTACTTTTTTGGTGAAATTTATTTTATTAAAATTAATCAAATGAACTAATCAATACTGGCTCACCTAATACAAAATTATATGGAAAAACATCAAGAAAAAGTGACATCTATGCCAAAGTAATTTAAACTGTACAGATTACCTGTTCAAGAGGAACATGATTCACCAGGCCACTGACAACTGTTCTTGGGGCTGTTTCTCCAATATCTACTTCTTCCACATATAAAGAATCTGCATCAGGGTGTTTTCTGGCAGTGATGATACAACCAACTCGAAGATCCAGACGAGAAACATCTAATGGCTTAGAGTCAGCGCTTCCTGCTACTGACTGCTGTTTTTTCTCCTTTTTCTCTCCTAAAAAATATTTATGAATGGTTAAACATCAGAAGTAAAACAAAAACAAGATAAACTATAAAAAACTCCCTAACATCGATACTGATGAGCTTTAAAAGAAAGAGTGTTTATCTCCTACCTTCACTTAAATAATAACAAAAGAAAGAATTATTCAAGTCATAGTATCTCGAGCCCTATTTTGGCTGTTTCTCAGTTGAATAACTGTCTAAATCTCTAGCTAAAGACAGAGAGTAGAAGTTGGTAAACTATGTTCATTCATTTACATATTGTCTATGGATGCTGGCAGGGTAGTTGTGACAATGACTTTATGGTCTGCAAAACTTAAGATATTTACTAAAAGGACCTTTATTGAGAAAGTCTGCCTTTCCCCGAAACAGAGCTGGAGAAAATCCTTTAAAATTTTTACTGTGACTCTTTAGAAAGGGAAAAATACTTTATTTAGGAAGAACACCACAATCAGTACCAGCTAAGAGAATGAACTACAATCAAATATAATTTCACTGATAAAATGTTTCTCTCTTCAGTTAAACACACCAATAAGTATACAACAAATTTCTCTACTTCTTGTATTTCTCAGACTTATTAGGGCTTTAGGTTTATCCACAGCAACTATCTGAGCAAAAGAGCCACCCAGGCGTCCCTATTCTGATTATGTTTTAAAAATCCTCCTCTTATTTATATGTCGATAATCTAACTCTTATAGCATTTGATTACTTTGGTCACTGAGTGGAAATGCAACCTGTAAAGAGTTCATAGTCCTTAAGTTTACATTAAGCTTCTCTAGCAGAAAAAAAATGTAAAACAAAATAAAAACTTATTTACCTGCACTCTGCAGTGTAGAGATAAGCACGCAGTTGTGACTTAGAAGCACTCCTTTTCAACTATACCTTACCTTTATTTAATCTTTGAACAAATATTTACTGAGATCTAAGGCACTGAAAATCTCTTTTAAGGAAGACAGATATACATAATGAATATGTGACAAACATTACATACACAAAGAAACACAGAAACACAGAGATGAATTCTGCCTGGAGTGGGAAAGAATGATTTTGTGTAAGGACATTCACAATTTATACAAAAACAGTTTACAAAAGAAGAGGTAGAGCTAACTCAAAATAATGGGCAATTTTTAATCTAATTAACAAATTTTTAAAAATTCCACTTTCCATGTAAAATATTTTTTTTTTTTTTAAAGATTTTATTTATTTATTTGAGAGAGAAAGAATGAGAGAGAGCAAGCACATGAGAGGGGGGAGGGTCAGAGGGAGAAGCAGACTCCCTGCTGAGCAGGGAGCCCAATGCGGGACTCGATCCAGGGACTCCAGGATCATGACCTGAGCCGAAGGCAGTCGCTTAACCAACTGAGCCACCCAGGTGCCCTCCATGTAAAATATTAGCAAAGACTTTTTTTAACGGTAAAACCCAAATGATACAGGAATAAATATACAAAATTACTAGAAGAAAATACACCAAAAATCTTAATAGCAGTTACCTTTGAGTGATAACCTATGTATTTGATATAATGCAGTATAACATTACGTCTATATATCAACCTGTATTTTTAACTTTAATCTACTTCCTAGGTATTTGAAATACTTTTTATCAGGAATCCACATTTTAGAGGTGACTGCAAATATCCAAATCTCTACCAAGAACTTAGTCATCATAAAAGACTTTAAGAATGTTTCATTAAAAAATGAGTGATGCTCACATGTGGCAGTCTAGAAAGCCTGTATGGTAACCACAGCCTCTGCATGAACAGAATTTTGGAAGCTGGCAATTCTAGCAGCCAAAGGCCAGTGGAACAGCCCTGTATTCCAGCACTGTCCAATATGGTAGCTGCCAATCACACACAGCTATTTACATTTAAATTTAAAATAATAAAAAATTCAGCTCCTTAGTTATACTAGATACATTTAAAATGTTCAGTAGCAATGCGTGACTACAGGTTACTATGTTGGATACTGCAGTTATACAGCATTTCCATTATCACAGAAAAGTACCACTGGACAGAGGCATTCTGGACATAGAGGTCCATTGGTCTCGTGTGCCTCTTCCTCCCACAAAGGAAGACTCCGCTGTCTCATTTGACTAGAAGACTGACTAATCCCGTAGTCACAAATGCAATGTAACTTCCTTTGGGTATGAACTTCATCCTACTTAGAACAGGCTGTCTGATTGTTTTGTGCCTACTTCTTAATAAATTTATAAAGTGAAAGAATTAGTTTGACTTGCTTTCATTGTAACCATACCACCTAGTGGTGAAGTTATGTAGAAGATGAACAACCCCAACTACTTTCAAGAAAAGTTACCGGTATTTACTAAAAGGAACTGGCAAGTGTTAGATGCTAAACTGGCTTAGGTTAATTCACAAATTCCTCAGCCATTTTATATTTTCCAAAAACTCTTAAGTGAGTATAAGTGTTATGAGAGGTGTGTATAATGAATTATAAAAGCACTTTTTTTAGACATACTTGGAAAAATGATGTCTATAAAGGAGTAAAGGAGACTAGGTAAAAAAGGAGTCAGATTTATGGTTAGAATAGCTTCAGCAGCAAGGTAAGGATAAATTAGAAAAGACGAGACTTCAACATTAGTTCAAATGACAGATCATGAGAACTTGAACAAAGGCAGCACCAAACAAACTGGAGCCACGGAGCTGGGTTCTAGATACGTTTTGGTGATAGGAATTATGTTTTGGTGGTCAGTTAGGTAAGCAAATTGAGGGAGGACAACAGGGTGAGGTTAACTATAAGATTTCTAGTCGGGCTAAGTGGATGGTGATACACTTTCTACTCCAGTTTTTATGGGTTCCTAAAACTTTTATACCCCCATACCTTAGTTCAGACGTTATCCTTTGACTAGAATATCCCTTTCCTATCGTCACAATTAGTCCCAAGCTAACTTTCTACCTGTGACCTCTCTGAAATTGAATATACACTAAAGTTTAGTCATACCAAACTACATATGAGCCCCTACGCTTAATCTCTACTTTCTATGTTTTTAGTTATGTTAAAACATACTTTACCTCAAATACCACATTCTTACCCTATTGACCTGGTCAATCTTCACACATCCTTTAGGTCCAGTTTCTATGTTCCAATATCATACTGTTTATTCTAGTTCATTAAGGTTTCAATTTTCTTTTTGACACAACTATTATTATAAAAAATGTTGACATCTGATAAACCAGTCAAGAACCAAATAACCTTAAAGGTTAAAAATACCTTTCACTTCAATTTTCTCTTTCATCTTCTTTTCTTCTGCTCCTCCTATCTGTTCTTTGGCACCAGAAGCTATAGTTGTTATTGGTCTAGACTGTGTCACATTTTCAGAAACTGTGGAATTAGCTTGCAGCAGAGTACCAGATGGAAATGGTATTTGTTTCACTGATACAAAAAATAAAATAAAGTCATTATGAGCTCTTTTTAAAAGAAAAATTCACTGTATATGATTATCAAGTCTCTACTATCTGAGATTATAAAAAGGCTGCCAAGAAATTAAGTACATTTTAACCATGATAAAAGTTAAATAAATGATTCTCATTTAATCACTAATAACTGAGAAAATTATGGACACAATAATAACTAGTATTTATTATGGACTATGTCCCACTTTTCGAAATGCTTTACATGAATTAACTTTTGTAATTCTCATAAATACCCTAAAAACAGTAAGTTCTATTCACATACCCATTTACAGATGATCAACATGAGCCATAGAGAAGTCAAAAAACTGGCCCATCACACACACAGTGAGTAGGAAAATAAGAATTTATACTCAAGCAGTCTGTCTCGGGAGACTATCCTCTCATGGTTTGACGAGATGGCATGTTTTTCACTCAGGTTTTCTTTTATATTATTGAACAATCAACTGGGAAAGTGTTTTAATAATAGTCATTGCAATATCAGAATTAATGGGGAGACGTGTCCATAATTCTATTTCAAAAAACAACTTTTTAAGGAAGAAAATTCCTTCAGCAATGTTAAAAACACTCTCATAGCCTAGTGAATATGGAAAAACATAATCTTATGAGGGAGTCTGATGTGGCTTAAATTCTGGCCAATATTCAGATCACTTTTCTGAGGTATTTTTAAGTTCCCTAGAGGCTCTTGCTTCTAGTAATGTGACACTCCATCTACCCTTGTGTAATGTTTCACCATTTGACAGGATGCAATACATTAATTCAAACTGTTGATGTGCTTTAGCATTTCATTAATAAGATCAAAGTTTAAAATGTTCCAGGGTAATCTTTTAGAACTGGTAAAATGGAAAGCAGTTTTATATTGCTAATATTTTAACTATTTATTTAAATCTGTACCTGTATTCTAAATCTCCTTGTCTTGGAAAAGATCAGATTGACAAACAATGTTCTCTTTAGTTGATAATTGTAAGCACACATTATATTGAGTTTTCCTTACTTTTGTTTAGCTCACTAAGGGTGGAGCTCATATTATAGCATTCAAAATAATTTACTCACTGACAGGATAATTCTAAAGGAAGTAGTAAGAGAGACTTTATACTTGGGCCTCCTTAACTCACCTAGGAAGGATTTTGTATAATACAATCAAATGCCTTTCTGTATGGTACTTTGAAATTGTAATAGAGCTATTATTATCACTGTTTTATAATGATGTAGGTTTATCTAGTCACCTTTAAAATAATTCAAAAAAATTTTAAATTTTATTTACAACATAATAATTGAAATGATAATTACCTGCTGAGTTAACTTAAAATTATGATTTCAGGCAAATTATACCTGTAGGTTTCAATTTCCTCATGTATAAAACAAGGACATTTGTGTACACAAAATTTTAAGGATAAAACACATAATGTACGTGAAGCACTTGGCACACAGTGCCTGGCATTTGGTAAAACATAATAAATGTCAGCTAAATATTATTACAGCTTATTTTCAATAACTAATAGGGAACAGTGATGATCAAGTTGAAATATGTAGCACAGAGATTAAAAGCAGTTTTTTTTTTTTAATTTAAGTATAGTTAACATATAGCTATATTAGTTTCAGGCATACAATAGGATTTCCCTGATGAGGTAAGAATATACTATAGAAAAAAGTCTTCAACAAATGCGGTTGGGAAAACTGGATAGCTACATGCAAAAGAATGAAACTGGACCACTTCCTTACATAATACACAAAAATAAACTCAAAATGGATTAAAGACCTAAATGTGAGACCTGAAACCATAAAATTCCTAGAAGAAAACATAGGCAGTAATTTGACATTGGCTACAGCAACATTTTTCTAAGTATATCTCTTGAAAGGGAAACAAAAACAAAACTAAACTGATAGGACTACACCAGAATAAAAAGCTTTTGTACAGCAAAGGAAACCATCGACAAAATAAAAAGGCAACCAACTGAATGAGAGAAGGTATTTGCAAATGATCTATCTCTTAAGGGCTCAATACCCAAAATATATACAGAACTTTTACAATTCAACACCAAAAATCATCATCATCATCATCATCATCCAGTGAAATCGGGCACAGGACCTGAATAGACATTTTTCCAAAGACATACAGATGGCCAACAAATACATGAAAACATGCTCAACATCACTATAAGCACAGGCGTTTGCACCCTGGGTCTGCACTTTTTGCATGAGCTCAGGCAAGATCATTTGCCTTTTCTAAGTCTCCATTTTCTCTTCTGTAGAGGAGGTAGACTGCATGAGAAGGGCTACTGTGGGGATAAAATGAGAAATCAAGTATAATACCTAATTTAACAATGATATAATTATTATTATAAATCAAAACAACCTATCATTTATATAATTACCTCCATTTTGAATTTCTGCCTGAATTAGCTCTTGTTTCAATTCTTCAATTTCTTTCTTTAATTTAGCATTTTCAACTCGAAGTTTCTTCTCTTCTCTCAAAGTTGCCTGCAAAACTAGGATTAAGAAAATCCAGGTAAGATATAGCCATGTTTTCTAAGAGGTTTCTTATGAACACTACCTGATAAGAGCACAGCAGTATAAACATAACTAGGATAATACCAATAACTAAATGTTTGCCAGTTCCTTTATGTCAGGAATTGGCAAACATTAATATTTATTAGAATAAAATGATAATTAACATAGAGAAAAAGGAAGAAAACCTGTGAAATAATAACAGAACAGAAAAAATTTGTTTATGAAGCATTTCCTAGCTTCCATAAAGATGCTAAAGACAACTTAATAACTGGACTCAAAGTGTCAACCATAGATAAACTGTCAAAATGAGGCAAGTATTAGACATATTATTTTTTTAAAGCCAGAGATCTAATGATAGCAAACCATAAAAAAACTTCTCATTTCTTTCTTTTTAATCATTACCTTGTAAAAGTACCTGAATAATCTTTTACTCCTAATGTTTCAGACACTGAGCTAGCCAAACATTCAAGGAGTGAAACCGCTTCAAAGATTTCCTCAAGATATGTGTGTTAAAGGTGAGCAATAGGGTATACAAAAGAATAAAAGAAAAACAGTGATTCTCAGTGGGGTTGGTACTGCTCCCTAGGTAGGATTTTTAAAATCTGTGGGAGTTATTTTTGGTTGTCACAAATAATAGGAGTCATTCTGGGCATTTACTGGGCAGGAGTCAGGAATGTCAGATGTCCTGAAATATGCTAGATATACTTGTAAAATGAAGAGCTGTCTCACATTCTGCAGAATTTTCTAGTAACCCACTATACATTTGTATAGGTGAAAATCCTGTTAATTATTTGAGCCTTGACACTATTTTTTATATATAAACACAAAATATTCTTAAACACTTTCATTACACCCTGAATTTTCTATATAAATCAAGTATCTTATAAATTGAGAGTAGATTGTACTTTGTTTTGTTCACAGCTTTCCTTAAAGAATTATTCATCATTCTGAATAAACAAAAAACATACCTGAAAGCTGTTTTTGGTATCAGAGTTGCCTACATAAAGGCAAACTAAATACAAACTCATACCAATTAGCATTATATCTATTGCATTCTTGGTGATTCCATGTATGGGAACCATACAGCATAGGACTCTCTACTATGTCTGGTAGGACAGTCCTGCCTAAGTATTTACTCACTAAAATACACATTTTCAGTATTACTACAATTTATATATTACATTCTTCTTAATTTTCCTCTACCTTACATACACGGTTAACATATGTTTTGAAATTATGTGTATAGGCAGGTTATTTTATCTAAGAAATATTTTCTTTACAGGGTATTAAAAGATTTTACAAAATATTTACTGTAACATAGGAACAATGGGACTGAGAACCACCCAGGATAGGCTACCAAAAAATAATAAAGGTGAAGAATAAATATGCAGTAAGTGTAGAAGGGTTCCTTTTTCTTTTTTTTTTTTGATTAGCAAAACTGAAATGCTAGTCAAGCTAATAGCAATCCATATGAGAAAAAATTCACACAGAAGCACTGATCATCTCTAATCTTTATCTTACTAATGGAAAAAAAATTAAAAATTTTAAGAAAAATAACAAGAAATCCTTTAAGAATTTAAAGAAAAAATGTTTACAAAACATAAAAAAGGAATAATTAAAACAGTATTTTAAAAATAAGAAAAAAGAATTAATAAAGAAAAAATATTCTGAAGAGTAACTGTATGATTCTGTAACCATTCACATCTTATGCAGCAAAGAAAAGCATTTATTTCTATTAGTTATTCTAAAAGACTTGGGGATTTTCATCATATCATTAACATTGGTTATTGAGAAATAAAAAATATATTTAAACAAAAATCAACCTAAATCCTAAAAGGAGAAATTCAGATTTGATATTTTTGTATATATCATAGCAATTCCTAGGTAAAACTTAAAGACGTATTGGAAAAAATGTAAAAATCATTTCAGAAAATGCTTTAAGTAGAGGATAATATAAGTATATATTCTTAGAAGAGATAAATTTGAGTTCATATTTGATTTTACCCAATTTTCTTCATTTTAATCTTTAATTCTATATGAACTTATTTTAAATGTTAACTTTCCTTTAGCCCTCTTAAAATAATACATTGTTTTCTCTACATTACATTCACTATATACCAATTCTAATTTATCTCAATTCCAGAATATTATTTCACTCAAAATTAAAATAGTAAAGGCATCTAAAAGTTACCATCAAGATGATGAAGTATATTTATGGGGTAAACACAGTTTTTGTGCTCTTGTCCATATAGGAATTCATTTTAAGTATCTCCTCCAAAAATGCAAAATCTCTTACTTGCTTTCTCCTTAAGAAGAGCAACTTGCTGCTTTAGATAGTCAATAATTTGATCTGCTTCTGCACCCTTCTGTTCCAGTCTCTTCAGAACAGCACCATTAGTTGCCATTTTTGCCAAGAAACGGCAGAAAATCCTAAGTGAAAAAATAAAAGGTGGTAAATTACACCATAGAAAGAATAGATTTATTGTACACGACACTATGAGCAAGCAGTCTGAAAGGAAAAATATCTTCTATTCTAACAAATCAATACACTAGAAAAACACTTTTCTGACATAGAGCAACAAACCAAATGGCAGAAATGTTAACAACTAATGCCTCAGTATGTTTGGAAGAAGCAATCAATTTTTTTTCCCTAAATGCAAAAAAGATGCTATTTAACCACATTTTAGGTTGGAAAGTTTTAAAGAAAGCTTTAAAATACGTATGGCAGAGTATTATGATGCAAAACAGGAATACTAAGAGAAAAGAATAACAATAACCTTAACTAAGCTATAGTGAGTGCCACCCCTGTGTTCCAAAGTTAAGAATTGCTGAATTCTTAGTGTTTATTTTTTGTATATTGGATATTTCTACTGTTTATTTAACTATTCTACTGTTTATTTAACTATGTACAATTTTAAGGAGGAACATGTGAATTAAGAAGGACAAAAAGATCAACAATTAGGAAAATATGAATATTAATGACATGCCTACTCAGAAATAACATCAGCATATATACTATGACCCCTGTAAAAGAAAATTATTGTAATTTTAATTTTATAATTCATAGAAATTAGAAAACATCCTGTCAGTGTGCAGAAAAATGCGTATAAGCAAACATTCTGAGATTAACTCATAATGTTAAAGTTTAAAATGCTGAATATTAAGATAAATAGTCACATTGACAAAAGACAAGATTAATCATTAATACTACTACAAACTTTTTACCTGATTAACTTCAATTTATAATATAAAGCATAACAATGACATAAGCATTGAAGTAATTCTGATTTTAGACAATAAAATGGTAAAATTTTTTGATAAAGGAAAAATTGGCTAAAATGAACAAATAATACAAGATTGTTTGAAAATTTCATATTATGCAATATCCATCCTATATAAAGAACATTCTGAAATGTTTACCTTTTTATAAAAAGAGAACCAATTCTCAAAAAACCTTATGCTAAAATTGACAATTTATAATACAGAACCACCAAAAAAATAAAAACCTGATAAAAATAAAGTTGTTAGTAAGTGAAGAAAATATAAATGAGGTTAATCTGAAAAAGTCATAGTAAACTGCTAATTTTCTATACGGACTATTATTTAACAGTTAAAAAACATACAGAGCAAACAAATAAAAAGGTACAAAAATTGAAAATGAAGATATCAACTTTAAATTCAGCCAATTTTTAAACATGAACACAGAATATTCTGTTGTTGTTCCTTAAATGTTGTTCTAGAATTTTAGAGAAAAGTACAAATAAACAGATGAAGAAAGTTAAAGTAAAAAAAAGCCATGTTCTTCTGGACTTTTAATATCCTCCTTAGTAAGCATTCTTTTAGTTTAAGGTCTTTCTATTTTAGTCTAACATAATAATCAAATATATTCAATAGGTGAAAATAGCTATCCCAAGAAAAGTAAGGAGTATTTGATTTAGCATTTACTTTGTTAGCTTTTACTTTTGTAGCAAAGAAAAATTTGGTGAGGTAATATTAAAATAAATGTGACCTTAGTGATATGCTTTAGAAAAATCCCTAGTCAACTAATATCTTAACTGATAAGAAACAAGTAGATTTAAGTGTAAAATAGTTGTCATAAATTTGCCAACAGGTACAGAAAGTTATCTCACAAATATCAGCAAAACATGAAATTCATGTCCTGACACACACAAAAACAGTTTCAAACTAAGACTAACAATAATCCAAAAAATAGAGATCATAAATCCTAGGCTAAGAGAAAAAAAATATATAATTTTACTGAGTTGATAAATCTATTAACTATCTGCAAAATACAGTTACAAAAGCGAGTTAAATAAAATATGACTTTTGTAATATATATTGAAGCACAGGCATAAGTTTAAGAAAGAATGTTTCAAAACATAAACACAAATGAGCTGAATATATTAAACACATACATAGAGCCACTAAGAGGAAATAATAGGATAAAAGGAAGTGATACTTTGAATGATACTGATAAAAAATATATACCTTTATATTTTATATACTTGCTTATAACTCTACAAATACTTGCTTAGATTAAGGTCTAGTTTTAAATTCTGAAATATAACTAGGACTGAGAATTGCGTATCACTTGAAATATTCAGTAAAAATGGATTTTTTAACCAAATAACTATATAAATAAAACATGAAAAATAAAAGGAAAACATGTTAGTAACAAAGGGAAATGTTACTGAAAAACATATTTAGGCCATGAAGTCTTTTTTTTTAAATATTTTATTTACTTGGAGGGGGGAAAGATGGCGGAGGAGTAGGGGACCCTATGTCAACTGGTCCCCGGAATTGAGCTGGATATCTACCAGACCACGCTGAGCACCCACAAAACCAGTCTGAGATATAAGAAGATCTGGATCTCTCTCTACAAACAGAATATCGCAGGCGGTTGGTTTTGAAGTATGAAGCGGGGAGCCCTGATTCCGCAGGCAGATATCGGAGGATAAACAGCAGCGGGAGGGAGCCTGGCTGTGGGGATCCTACACCGCCGGTGAGCGACAGCCTCCTGCACTGGGGACAGGGCACAGACTCCCAGATCGGTATCAGCAGGGAAAGGACTTTAGGGCAGCCCCTGGGGTGGAAAACCAGACCGGCGGGGTCGCGCGAACCCGAACCGCAGCCCCCC